ATGATGAGAGCGAGGGACCTGGTGTAGCAAAATTTGAAAATTTTGGAAGCACGTGAACAGCCTGGTTGACCTAAGATGTGCAGAGTTAAACAGGCTTCTGCATGAAACCTCTGGGGATAGGTGTCTTCATACAAACTACAGAAGGGACCAAATGGGTGGGAACAGGAGGCCCCTCTGCTCAATGTTAATGCTTTGCTGTATTCCATCTTTGTCCTTACTAACATTATTTTCCAATGCCTTACAGGTTTTTTTTACTTTTGTGTAATGTCTGAACCTTTTACTCTGAGAACACCTCAGTGAAGGATCATGTTAAATAATGATCAAAAAATAACTCATCAATCTGTGTAGATGTGGCAGACACTGTAACACTATGTTAACATGTTACAGGTACAAGTTGAAGAAGAAAATGCTGAAAAGCTGACAGCATGTTAAAGATGATTTGTTTATACAAGTGCTAAAGTTATATTTGATATGTTAATGCAACCTCATTTTCTAGTAAAGGCCAAACACTATTAAGTGGTTATTTGCATTGATTTTTCTATCTTCTGAAATACTTGATTCAAGGTAAACCATCTTTACTCCTTTTGTATACTGGAGCTGAGGCTGTCTTTTAAGTCGCTTTCTGGGTGGGCCTCATGGACTTTCCTCAGTGATATTCTCCTGGTCCATTTCTTGACCTCTCTATCAGTGTCCCGTTTAGCAGATGCTCCTTTTTCAATTTGTCTGGATTTTCCCTTCGGTGTTCCAACAGTCCCACCTGGGGAGTCACTGAAAGGGGTCAGCACCCACTGCAGCTTGCACCAGTGCCTCTCACAAACATCCTCGTTCTGCTGAATCATGTTACCTGATGCTCATTAAAAAAGACTCAACAGTAGCCTAATCTTTTAAATTTTAAGAGAGGAGGGAAGGATATGTTTACTTGCTCTCTATCCTTGCTTTCCTGGCTGAATCTCTTCTTACCCTTTTGGTATGTTACCTGCTTTGCTTTTCATTTTGTGTCTTAGGTGCTTGTGATATATCCTGTGCTGGGTACAGAGGTATTTGTTTCAAAAGACTGTGTGTATTTAGAGGAGTTGCATGGTGGAAATACAGTTAAAGAGAAGATGGAGGCCCTGTTGCTGGGAGTGGGTGATGTTGTACTGACAACTGTACAGCTGGGCAGTGGTGGTTGCTCAAAGAACACTTGGTTTAATGAGGTTCATTGTCTGTCAAGCACATTATCACCTGATTCAGGCTAGCTAAGGTAGGAGACTTTTTAGGGGAAATACCTTCAGAGAGGAGAATAAATGTGTGGGTTTGAAAGGAGAGGAAGCCTTTGTCAAGATTGATTTTGGGGATGGGTTTTTTTGTACCTTCAGTTGTCTATGTTGCATCTCCGGCTACAGAATTGTGAATGCACACAGTAGACCACACAGTAAAGTTAATTCTTAGTAAGTTGTTTGTGTGATACCTTTATAAAATTATGTTACCATTTCTGAGGCTTTAATATCCTTTACTCAGCAAAGTCATCAGTGTTCTAATCAAGACACTTTCTCATTGACGTGTCCACACTGCTCTCATATTCCTTGATGTACTCAAAGCATCTGTGGTAGAGAAGCAGTTTTCTCAATTAACAGCCCGTGTTTCAGAACATGTTGAACTCATGGGAATTTGCATTTAGGGGCACAATTAAACCTCAGATCCAATGTTTAGGTAACCTGTGTTGCGCAAAGTATATTGTCTGTTTGAAGTTTTCCCAAGTGTAAATTTTTGCAAGTTTGAGATAATAAAATTTTAGACATAGTGTCTCAAATTAAACACTTCCTTTCAGCTTTCTTAAAAGGATACATCCAACATTTCCTTTTTGTCAGTACCAAGTTGGATGATGTCTTCTCTTCACTGTGCTCCAAAAAGTATTTTTATATATGTTTTTAGAAGGAAATTCAGTTTCTTACTTGCAGCTGTTGGCATTTTAGAGGCCTGGAGTGAACCAATAAAAACACATGTTCTTTTAAAGAACATCTATTTTTACTGGACCTTGCTAACAACTAGTGACACAGAATTCAAAAAATGTTGGCTCAAATGAATAGAAGGGCTGCATTGTTTTAAATTCTATTTTTAAAAGTTTTCTTTACTGCAAGGTTACACTAAAATTTCACATGCTTCTTCTCTTATGAAAAGGCATGTTTGCCTTTAGAATGAATGCTTATTTAATATTTTCAAAGTAGCTCAGGTATCAAAGTTGTAAAGTATAAAATTTTATTGAGACATACACAGTATTGCTATTTAAGACTATTATTATAATGCTTTCACAAAGAGGGTAATTGAAGATTTTACTTCCTAGACAGCCAAGAATAAATCAGAATATCTTCTGTTAATGCATTGTTTCCAACATAGTAAAACACATAGGTGCAAAGGTCAAATTAGATCACCATTCCTTTCAGTGACGTCCCAAATCGAATTCAAGTAGTATACTAGTTGAAAATGCCCCAGAGTTGATTGGGTTTTTTTGGTTTTTTTTTTTTTTTTGGATATCAACACTCTCAGTAGAAATGAAATGAAAGAGAAATTACAAAATGTTCCAAAGTTTGATGTAAATGTAATCATGTCAAAGTTGACTTGATAGGGAGGTTTATCCATTTTATGTAACCTGTGTTGCATCTTTACTGTACTTTACTTGTTCTGTGTTCTGCAAGATCTTTGAGTCCCACTGCTGCTCTTTAATTCAGTGTCCTGTATTCACAGGAGTGAAGTGGAGAGCAGAATTAAGATTGCACCCATGCTCTCCGTGGTACAATCTGCTCTGTACATCAAGATCTTTTCTCATGTATTCATGTAGCTAGGTTTTGCTTTTAGAATATTTTTACATGCCTTTTGGAATCAAGAGAATAACATGATTATAAATTCAGGTTTTAAAGGTAAATTGAGATTTTAGTCTTTTAAATGATATTTACTCTACATAAACTTGTGTTATTGTCAAATTGTGGATTCCAAAACACTGTTTTGAAGAAGAATGTTGGCAAAACAGGAAAGTGGGTGTCCTGGTGGTCATACATGATGTAATGTATAGTGCCTGCAGCGGTAGACTGATTTTTTTAATGGTGTTTAGATCACATAAACCAAGGAAAAAAATGTTGCTAAGGAAAAAAAAATATATGTAATTTCTCTTTAGTTCTTCAATAGTTTTGGTAGCACCTTCACATCTGCAAACACATAGTTTTCATGCTACACATGGAAAAAGAGTTACATCTGGGATTCTGTGATTTGTAATTTTGTGTATGTGTGTGTATTGTGTGGGTGGGTGGGTGATAAACGCAGACATTAAATATCTCAAGTATGTGAAAATACTTACTATCAAATGTATCTTAATTTTTTTTCTGTATTTCCCTATCTATGGGAAAATGTATTTTTTCTTGCAATAAAAATAAAACTACATTAAGGAAGTTTACAACACACATTGAGAGAATGTACTAGGCCAGAAAAATTCGCTGCCTTTAAAATGGGTATTCCTATTGGAAATATTAGAATATTAGAAATAAGCTCAGATTTCTAACAGAAGTAATGAAATATAACAAGAGATATGTGAATGGAATTTTTAATAGTACTTTTGGGCTCCTACAAATGTTTAAAATTTATTCAAATAGAGCATTGGATCATTCTGGTTTATATACTATACTGGATACCTGATGAGTAGTATATTTTTAGGTCTTACTTTGTGTTTAAGAATTGTATGTGTTGGCATGTCTTAAAATTTCTGTCTCAGGATTCTCTAGCATTCGTTATTTTACTTGAACCTCCTTTGTAATTTTTTTTATTCTAAAGCTTTCTGTCTCACAGTTTTTCTTTTTTTAGAGTTTACAATGAAGCCAGGCTTCAATGTCCTGTATACTGAATTGCTCAGGAATAGGGTGCATATATATGATGGGAAGCTCAGTTCTGTCTCGTCCACAGTCACTAAGACACCACGAGAGACTGACGTTTCCTCATCTTTTGAGACAGCAATGCTTACATAGGCATTATAGCACAATTCTTTTTTTCTTTTTTTTTTTTTTTTTTAGCTAGTGGTTTCAGAAAGTATATATTAAAATATTTTTTTATAAATAAATTGTATTTTGTTCCTAATTGCATTTTGTTCCTTACCTTTGGGTTTTGGTGATCATGTCTAAACTACTGGCTTGTAATACACTGTTGTAAAATGCTTCTCCTGTTACTCTGCTTTTCCCGTGTTCTAACAGTTGTTCCCATATGTCTTCGTGGTACTTTGTCTGCTTTGTTTTCTTTTTTTTTTTTCTTTTTTATTTGTAGAACAGGGGTTTTTTGTAAGGCAAAGAACTGTCTGCAGACAACTAATTGCTCTTTCAAACCAGGGAACTGGGCAAGACCTTTTATAGTTAACGTAAAAAAGAGCAAAATATAATTTGGTTTTAACTTGCCGATTTTTAATCATTAAAATAAACACTCAGCAGACAGCAATAAGTCTACATGTATAGACACACTGTTGCAAGTGCTAATTTTCTCATTTTTTGTCATTAAGTTAAATATTTAAACAAAACAATCTTGGAGAATTATAGTAACCTCTTAGTATGAAAAATACAAGTCTAAAAATTTCATCTATATTTTCTAATAAAACGCTGGATCCTTGATTTGGGTGGAGGGTCTTTCATTTGCTTGCATTTCAAAAAACATGAATTCTTTCCTTTATATCTACTTACTTAATACATAAAAGCCAAAATCTAGCCATATATTGGCATAACTAGGAACAGAAATTCAACCCAACATTTTGATAAATATCTCATCTGATACATAGCGGTTTTGGCTACTTTTGGACCAGGAAGAAACTGAATAATGATACACATTTTAAAAACATAGCTTTCACAGTGTCTGGGATTGTAACTTGCTTTTGTCTGATGCTTTTGCTACTGCAGAAATGGTGATGGGGTTATTTACAGTAAGTCTTTTGGCTTGTTGAAAAAAAATATGCCCACACTCCTCTACTTAATGGGATTCTTTCCTCGTTGCAGTGCAAACGGCTGGAGCAGGAGCTTCATCATCTGAAAGAGCAGAACCAGACTTCAGCAAACAACACGAGACATATGACTGCTGAAAACAATCAAGAACGTGCTCTGAAGGTAAATCTCCATTTCTTCTTGCAGGCAAATTAAGGTTGTAAGCCCCTGGTGCCAGCTTTCTGGGCTGCATATATCAGTTGTGTACATTTCGGCAGAAGTGAGCTATGGTGTTTGCCAACAACTGCTTCTTTAAACACAGATACAGCACCCTTCTGTTATGGTTTTATTTTATTTTGTGTTTGAAAGCAAGAAAAAAAAATAACATATCCTCCAAATTATTGGGCTGGTAATTAGCACTAAATTCTTGAGATCTGTCTTGCAATATTACATTGCATAAGGTGAAGAAAACTGCAATTATTTGCCTCGTGGTACCTTTGCAAAACTAATATTTTAAAGCATGGCTGTTTGATCTGCTCCCAGCAGTGTGTGCTATATTAATAACATTGTTGACCGATACTACTAGTGACCACATAGTTGATACTACTATTTGCAAAAGGGTAGCTACTTGGAATTGGGAGGAGGAATAATAAGTCTTGTCAATAAGAATAAAAATGAGCAGAGAGGAGGGAGAGGGTCAGAGAAAGGACAGTGTAAAGTGACAGGTTATTGCTGCTTTGAGAAAGGGAAATTGTAATGTCAGTGGAATTGATAGCTGCATAGCCTGCAATCTCACCGCTAGCCAGGATAAGAGACTGTGCCAGGTAAGATGTGCAAGCATTATGCACACCTCTTCAGCCACTTTATTCTTAAAACTCTCTTTTATTGGTAGTGGAGATACAATACAAATACAGAACTTATTCTCTTTATACTGTGTTGTCATTTTAAAACTGTTTGATTTAGACAGTAAGATCCAAAGATATCCCACTTACAGATAGATTTTCCTCTGCCTCCTTTTTTCGATTTTTTTTTAATTTATTTGGGAAACATCATTATACATACAACAACTTGACCAAAGCAAAGTATAAGAATAAAAGTAAATCCTTGTGTAGTTTGACATTTCTCAGTAAGATCTTAAACGTTCAGGGCTGTTTCTGACTGCAATAACGGCATTGCTTTAAATCTGGTGTCACTAAAAGTTAGTGCTTGCCAAGCATGCTACTTATTGAACATAATATTGTTTTTCATTAATTGCATGCTGTCTTGTTTTTTCTGTGTCATTGAAAGTACTGTGCAGAGAGCCTTTCTGCTAGAAAAAAGTTTTATTTAAGCTACGCTTTTTGCATTTAATATTGTCTGACATAACACTTACAGAATAATTATATTTTCAGAGCAAGAAGTGATTTGATAGTTCAGAGCGTTACTAGGATTTCATTCTAAGCCTGATATTGCTCTCCCAGCACCTAATCTTTAAAGAATTTCATTTCTGACTGTCACAGGAATTTTTTTATTTTTCAAAGTTAAAGGTTAATTGATCATAGTCTCTTAGAGATGAGAGTCTGGGGAGGAAAAAAGACCGCGTTTCAATTTTTTTAAAGTTGAACTTTTTTTAGTACTGTAGCTCCATAGAGTTTGTCTCAGTTCAAATTACTGTTGCCTACAGTGAGGACAGGTCCTTTGGAATATCTTTTAAAGGCCAGGTTGTATTCTTGACCTCAAAAACTTTAAAATGCCCCAATGAAATATTGCCAGTGGTAGTTAGCTTTGATATACAGCACATGAGCATGCATCCTGACCTCATGTAAATGAAAAGCTTATCATCCACTTTTAGTGTAACCACAGCCTGGAAAACTGATGTCTAGTTTTTTTCCAGGATGGAAGTCATGTCAGTGACTCACTTAGGAGTGGGTTTGGTCAGAGCTCTGGGGCTGGCTGTAGATGGATGGGGTGCTCCTGCTGCTGTCAGCAGCACAGCTCCCACAGAAAGAAATAGCCAGCCAGAGCCCTGTGGCAGGTCACACACCTCCCCTGTGAAACCTTCCTGTTCTTGGCTGTCACCTCCTGCCTCTTGTATGCACTCAGCAGCTCTTGCGAGGCTGCACACAGAGTGCAGGTACAGACCCAAGCATCCCGTCCTGTCCCCTCTCCACTGCAGAGCACCTTCTGGACATTTGTGCATTTACAGAGACATAGAACATGTCCTTTGTCTCTCTGGTACAGGGTAAATATCAACTCGGCTTTTATTGTCACTATAATCCGAGGAATTACTTTTATTTTAACCACCTCCACATGCAAACTGGGGAACTATGCTATGTATTATTAACCTGTCCAGCAGAAGGAATCCAGGTATTTCTTCTGAGTCTGTCCAGAACAGTTTGTATCAAGGAAGTTTTTAAAAAAAAAAACTGTAATTTTCCCTATTCTTTTACACTTAATTAACATTGAGGCAATCTGTTGATTCACTTTGGCAAAAGATGCATCCTCTGGATGAGGAGTTTGATCTGCTTTAGATTTTCTTAAGGGAGTAACAGAAGTGTAAACATCAGTGGTGGTGCAGGGATATTTGCAATCTTAACTGGATAAAAATAAAGTAATCAGGATCAGCTAGATTAGGGATGGTGTGAAAGTTTGTGATAAAAGATGAGATCATTACCTCTATGGGACCCTGAAATACACTTAAGAACAAAACCCAATAGCTATTGTTTCTTTTTTACTTTTTAAAATCATCTCACAGTAGTGAGTTGCTTGGAAGGAAAAAAAACATAAGACCAATCCACAAGCAACCTATTTCAGTCCACTGATGTTAGGATCTATTAGGTAAAATAATCTGCAAGCTTTCGGATTCATTTTTTCAGTATATCAGCTCACAGGGCTGTGCCACCCTTCTTTGAGACAGTAGCTATCCATAGTCAGGAGTGAGGCAAAGAGGCAGGGAGACACTTTATAACTGGAAGATGTGTGGTGGCAGTAATTTGGCTAGGTTCAGGTTCTGGACATCACAAGGATGATATAACCACTCTTTTGCAGATTTTTGGTATTTTACACATTTAGATTCCATGTCACACCTGAGGATAATGTGACAAATAAAACATATGACGCAGAAGGCATGCAGTGCACATTGTAACATGCTATTTCACCTTATAACATCTGCACGTCTTGGTAAGACAGCTCTTCTTAACTAACCTCTGTGTACATGTTAGTAGTATGTGATTTAAAATTTCCATATTTAATGTATTTATTTCATAGAAAATTCCTTACAGTATTGTGGACCATTCAGTCCCACGATGCCAAACTGGCACCCCTAATTTTTAGTAATATTCGTATTGGTCATAGGGGATTGTATTAATTGACTGAAAAGGCCAATTTCAAATCTTCCCTCCAAGCAATGCCCACAGCTGCACAGAGGTCATGCAGAGAAGCGTGTGGCCCCCTATTTCCATAGTTAAAGTAAAATAATCCTCTTCTTTGTGAAACCATTTTTTAAAATCTCTTATTATATTTCACATTGAATTATAGCTAAATCTTTTAGGGATAATTGCTTCCTAAGGGTCTATACATTTGCGCTCTTAGTACATTTTCATAAAATAAGATCTGAGAGTGCTTTGCAGTTCTAATGTGTCAAGGTCTATATGTGAGATTATTCATTTTTGCTTGGCCTTCATAATTAACATTTGGTCTCTACTGATTCTGATAAATGTATTCCCATAATACACAGAAACAACTGATTCAATTAAACATAGACAAGTGGAAGAATTGCTGGTTCTTCATTATTTTTCTAATGTTCATTCATTTTACTGTTGTTAGCTTTGTAGTGTGTAATTTTCAAATTCAGAGTTTTCACTAATACATTTTTTTCTAAAGAAAAATAAAAATTTTGCCAGTGTACATGCCTTCTTTACTGAGTTGAAGGAGAATAGGAAATAATTCTTGTGAAACCAATCACTTAATGTGAAATTTCGTGAAAAATGTTTAATTGGATTTGACTGAAATAGAGAGAGGAAACTTTACTTTTTTCCACAGGCCTTCTCTATTTTGTAATTTCTAATTAAGTACTATATTCTTCTCAAACCAGCTATTAATCTACTTTAAAGATCAGAAAGACATACTAGTTTTATCTTCAAGGCAAAGTTTTGAAAAGAAGAGGACTATTTCATGGTGATATACAAATCAGGTGACCTTTACTGGCTAAATGAGGTTGCGTCATGCAATTATGATGTCATTGTAAGGGTTATTAATCTCCTTCAGGCCGGTTTAGATGTTACATCTTTTGTTATGATTGGCTTTTTTTTTTTTTTTGTAATGTCGGCCTTTCTTTTTAGCTGTGATTTTTTTCTCGAATTTATCCTGCATGCTTTCATAGTTTTATTAAGAATATAAAAGAGTTAGAGCCAAGAAAGTGACCTGAAGGAGCCATCAGAAGTTTGTCTGCAGTAGTGTTGTAAAGGAACTGTGCCTGATGTCATCTGTTTTCTGCTGACATGTAAGAATCAGGTCAAGGGCAGGAAATCTCAATGCATAGCAGTTTGGTAGTTGTTCCAGTGATGATGCCTGTGAAGAAGCCACTTTAGAATACTTAATTTAAGTATTCCTTGATGCCTTTCATAAATTTTATTAAGTTCTTTTTGATTCCCAGAATTTACCAGATTCTTAGAGTAGAAACCATTTTCCCATACCTACTTGACAACAACAACCACAGAAACAAGTTTACCTGACTGGTCAGCCTGTCATCCATGAAGGGCATCATCACAAGAGATTCTGATGTTATAAGAGCTTAAAAAGATTTTCAAAAGCTTTAACATGAAGTATAAAATATTTGCTACTATTGAAAAGCACATGCTATTCCTACAATATTAACTATGGAAAAAAAGTCCTTGTTTCAGATGATGTGGCCTTTATTTACAAAAACTAATTCTAACTGGTTTTAGGTTTGGTGCTTCAGAGCTGAAGTTTCATAAGTTTAATAAGTTTAGACCTGGTTTATGGCTATAAAGCCTCTGATTTCAACAGAGACACATGCTTTTGAAATAAAATCCAGGGAAACTTGTCTGAATCAGTGATGGTTAACCAAGAGATTTCAATCTCTTGTATTCAAATTCCAGTTCAGCATAAAATTTTTACATTTTAAGAGTCAATAATTTCAATAGTTATTCATTTCAATAGTTTTACATGAGGCAGCGGAGATG